GAATGGGACGCATTGCCACTATCCCTCTGCAGCTCCTTAGGTGATGAGGGGCCTGAGGTGAAAGCAAGCTGTTCCCTCTGTCAGTGCTCAGGGAGAACCCAGGAGGCCCATGGACAGGGAAGACGGCTGAGGAGGTCAAGGGTAGGAAGGAGTGGCTCTTGCTAACAGTCATGGAGACACACACACAGCTGTCTGTCTCTGTAAGAGAGCAAGGGGCCCCAACTCCCTCTGGGAGAGACAGGTGCTTAATTAACCCTCAGTATCACAAGAAGCTTCCGGAACGGGGAAGCTAGAGGATCATGTTTGTTTCACAAGCACACACGCTGACACTTTCCCGCTAGAGAAGCAAATTTGGTGCAAGCAGGGAGAGGAAGGGCAGTGGCTGAGCCAAAAGGCAGGGAGGCTGGTCAGGGCATGACACTAGGTGAAACAGAAGGTTTGATGATCTCGGTGTCCCACTGACAGGGTCCACTGATTTCTTAGATATGGTGAATAGGAGCTGAAGAGGGCAGGCATCCCTAAGTCTGTCTGTGGCACTGGGTGGATGTAGGAGCCATTGGCTGGGAGGGGCCTCGGAGTGTCAAGTTGGGCTCTGACGGCAGGCATAACAGCCCAGCTGTCAACAGAGCGACACGTCTTGAGCTGTGCAGTACCCACTGACCACAGAACATGGATGTAGACACAGTCTAGGCCTTGAGGGCTTCTGCAAGGACACTACTTCAGGGGAAGAAAAAAAAAAAATGGGTATCCAGCGAGGGGAGAAGTGACCCTGGGGCCTCTTAGGATGTCTGTACGTGCTCTGGGGCTGAGAGAGGCTGATGACCCAGGTTACACAATGGACTATGGAGAGAGGACTGGGATAGGGGACAGGGACACCGATGAGACTGTGGCTGTTGTCCCTACGAGGTAGCCTTGGGAGATTGGTCAAATGTGGCCTCTTCACACGGACCCAGCAAGAGTTCACACACATTCGCGTTCTTACGACTGGAGGAAGTAACACAAGAGCCAAGGAGAGAGCCTTGAACTTTCAAAGTTGAGCCAGATATTCTGAAGACAATGGTGTGTCTCTGGACAGAGCGCTCAGGCCTGTGAGGGAGTCTCCTTTGTTTTTTCGCCCTGCTGCTTTGAGGGCTGATATCAAAGCCTTTTCCTCTCATTTTGTTTGTAGTTTTGTAGCAATGTGTCCGGGCTCAGTCCTCTTCCTGGGAGTGTATCAGTGTCTCCAGGCTAGCATGGCTTTTTAAAAATAGCCAACAAAAGGGAATAGTTTTTAGGAGACAAAGGCATCTGTGCCCTCAGAGGAAAGAGTCGCTGCAGGATCCCGTCTGAGTTCTTGTTGGATGTGACATGGCAGCACAGTGGAGCTAAGCCCCTCCCTCTCTGTAGGTGCCCCCATCTTGCGTTCTCTGCCTCTGAGACCCCATGAAAACGGATGCCCATGGATAATTAACATGTGGCTCCTCTCTCTAACTCATCCCAGGCTCAAATCCCCAGTCCCATTTCCTGGCGCACCACAGGAGAGGCCTCTTGCCCACAGAACCCGAGGTCCAAGCACCTTTCTGACAGTTTTGCAAAAGATCTGGTCCAGTGGAAGCTGCCTTATGCCTGTATTTGACTTCAGGACATTCCCTCTCATTGATGTTGCCTTTTCCTTTGTTGTATGAGGCACAGAGGGTTGGGATATGCAAGCTTGAGGACCTGGGTGTCATCTTTACAAAAAGCCAAGCATGGTGGTGCTCATCTGTCACCTCAGCACTGGGGAGGCAGAAAGCAGACAAGTAATCTCAAATGTAAGATCCCCCTGCTCCAGCACCCCAAGTGCTACAGTTGCGGGTGTGCACTATCATGCATGACCAGAATGTCAGAAACCTCCATGTGTGGTCTTTTCTTGTTGTAGTGCTTGTTCATGTGGACTGAAGCTCCTTCATTAGAGACTTGAGGATGGCTCTATTTCCTCAAGTCTCAAGAATGGATTTTGTGTCCCAACTGAAGACAAGAAGACCACGTCCCCTCTTGCATCATGTCTGTACTGACAGAGCCACCTGACCCTCTAGTAGCCATGACACCAAGACACCCAAAGGGCCTGGAAGTCAAGAGTGGCCTTCAGGGGCTTGCTGCACCTGGGCCAGCTACTGCCAGGGTCACAGATGGACACTAGCCTCTACCCTGCTCTTCCAGGAGGAAGCGTGTCAGGAAGCCCAGGCTGGTTCTCTGTAGTTACTCCAGGACACTGCCCAGCCTGGATGGAGGTTGTTGATACCATGGGAAGCTCTGGGATGGGAGAGGAGTGAACTGTTGCCAAAGTAAACCCAGGGGCTACGCAGACGCTCTTTGATTCGACATGCTATTTGTGGACCAGAATACATATTTATTCTTTATTTCCCCCAGTGAGACACAGTGTGCCTTGGGGAACAGATTAGTGCTTATTTTTCCGTGCTGTTTCTCACTGCGTACCTGGCAGTTGAGTGATGTTTGAAGATAACGCCATGAGGTTGTTTGTTGAACTGTGTTTCTACCTGAGGGGGGAAAAGTTAATGTTATAACTACCATATGGATAGAGATTTTCTTGCTTCCAAACAAGCAAGCAGTTAAAAAAAAAAAAAGAGCCCAGAATGACTGAGGTGGCAGGATACCTGTTGGCACCTGGAACAGAGGTGATGGACCCCAGGTAGTCCTGATCCAGAGTGCAAATGTTGCCTCTGAGCCTGGCTTTCCTCTTGGCTTCCTGATGCTGTGTGCTGTGCGCAGGCTCACCTCTGTGGTGGAAAGAGCAGGTACAGGCACAGGAGGCAGCCACCATTCATCCATGAAATAAACACTGAGGGGCTTGTTATGTGCCAAGCGCTCTTCTAGGGACTCAGACGCCACCATCTTGGGATGAACTGTCTTTGCTCCATTAGAGGTTGAATCCTAGGAGGCTGATGATGAAGGATAACAGAGGTGGAGGGATCACAGAACACATTGGGTACATTGGGCTGAGAGGTTATAAACAGAAACAGTAGGGATAAGGACCAAAATGTGACAAAGAGTGAGCATTCTGTAGTGGGTCATTGTCAGAGACCAAGGAAGGGGCGAGCTGCAGGGGCATCTAAGGGTGGAGAATGCCAGGAAGAAGCAGGAAGCTGAAGGCTCGGCCTGATGGAGCAGTGTGAGGCAGCTGGAGGCGAGGATGCCATGTGGGATGATGTTTTTAGGAAGGTCATCACTGAGGCCCCAGGTCACCATAATCAGCTGGCTAGTGGAGTGGAGTGAGGCTGTACACGCTGCCAACAGCACTTCTTTTTCCTTGGCCCCACAAGCAGGTGGGGCATCCAGATAAGGCCCTGGCAGTTGAGCATACCATCTGTTTTTCCAGTAAAGTAGAGCACACAACCTACAGTGAAGGGTGTACAACAGAGGGGTGTCGAGGGGCAATGTGGTGGGGAGTGCAGGTGTCCCCTTTCAAGGCCCTCTTACTTTATACCACATCCCTTCCTGAATGTCAAGGGACTCACAGAGTCTGTGCTGAGCACAACGATGCTCCTCAGAGATACCCACATCTTAATCTTTGACCCCGTGGATGTGTGATTTGGCCTCAGTGACTCTGCAGTGGGATTAGAGACATTATTATGGAGAGCTGATCTGGGTTGTGTAGGGACATCAGGTAATCATGAGGGGTCTTTCTGGAGGGAAGCCATAGGGCTAGATCACAGGAGGAGAGGTGACCGTGGAAGTACAGTCAGAGTGTGGGAAAGGAAAAGGTGGTTTGTGCCTGTAAAACCAGCAGTAGTGGGGGCTAGCTCTGACGATGATGAATTTCAGGCCGGCCTGGGGCTGTATACTGATTCTCTCCAGGGCCTCCAGAAGGAACCAGCCTTGCTTACTTACACCTTGACTCCAGCCTCGGTCTTACTGAACTCTGAATGGACTTGGGGTCCTTAAGTCCTCCATACTATGTTATAGGATCCCCAGATTTGACACTAAAGAAAAAGATATTGTTCTCACCCTCTGTTGCTGAGGACTCTGGAGGGTCCTAACAATGACGCACAGAAAACAACGTGTGAAGAGAGGAAAGAACAGAGCTGAGGCCAGACCAAACAATCTAGGTGTAGATGATTTGCTCCGTCTTTTTTAATTTGTTTAGGTTTTTTGTTTTGTTTTGTTTGTTTTGAGACAGGATCTCACTATGTAGCCCTGACTGTCCTGGAACTCACTATGTAAACCAGGCTCGCCTCAAACTCACAAAGACCCACCTCCACCCCACCTGACCCTACCCCGCCTCTCCAGTGCTGGGATTAAAGGCATGAGCCACCTCATCTGGCAAGTTGCTCAGTCTTGAAGGCCATCTTGTACCTGTCTTGGGTCTCCTGAGATGGCCCTGTCCAGGGTTCTACCCTATGTGCATAAGTTTCTCTCTCTCTCTCTCTCTCTCTCTCTCTCTCTCTCTCTCTCTCTCTGTGTGTGTGTGTGTGTGTGTGTATGTGTGTGTGTGTGTGTGTGTGTGTGTGTGTGTGTGTGTGTGTGAGAGAGATTTGGGTATTTTGGTGTACATATGTATACAGATGCAAATGTGCACTTTTTGCATGTGGAGGTCAGAGGGTGTCCCATGTCAGTCCTCAGATACATCCCACATTTTGCTTGAGACAGGACTTCTCTTGGTTCTGGAATTTATGGCATAGTCCTGGCTGGCTGTCCTGCAAGCTTCCAGGGATCCACTTGTCTCCACTTTCCATATCGCCATCACTGAGATTTACATGCACACACTTTTTGTGTGGATACTGGGGATCTGACCTCAGGTCCTTATGGCATTAGGTAAGCGCTTTGTGGGCGGAGCTGTCCCTCCAGCTCTGTTCCTTCGGTTTCTTTAAAGTATTTCTTTTACTTGCAACAACAACAACAACAAAAAAAGCAGGTTGACCAGAGCAATGATCTCATCTTCTTTTTAATCACATGACACCCCTGCAAATTGCACACCTCCTTGTCACTCTGTTCCGCCTAGCCTTGCAGACATCCTCCTGTGATTAGGACCTCGTTCCCACCCTAGTGGCCTGGAATGACGAACGGACTTTCCGGTCCATGAGGGGCTGGAGCGGGCGGTAGTTGTTTACCATCACCTCTTCTTCCTCACCATGCCCAGAAAACAAGAGTGTGCGGAACGCTGACAGCTGGGATAGGGAGCAGCCAGAGTGAGCCGATGCCAGCATGGCAGGAGTCAGGTGTCCCCCATGCCTTGTGCGGTCCCCCCAACTGAATCAGGGGTGCCCATGACCCCCCCAGAACACAGTATAATGGACCAGTGACTCCAGAAGATTCATTAGAGGCACTGTTGCTGCCGCTCTGTTGGGACTGGAGAGCCCACAGACATGACAGAGCCCCACTAGCCCCACAGAAAGGCCCCACAGAAGGGTACTGAGGCCTAGTTTACAGCCAGCACCAACTAACTTGTCAGTCACTGAGTGGGCCACTTAGGTAGGGAAGGAGCTCTCTGGCCTATGCCATGATGTACCTTTTTCTGCTAATGTGTACATTTACAACCCCCATCCTCCATTGAACTCCTGTGGCAAGATGGGCAAGAACTCAGGTCCAAGTTTGCATCACTTTTCTTCTTACATGGACTTTCCCAGGCACAGCCTGGCTGGGCTGTTTAATTAAGTGTCATCAGGACAATGATCACACCTGGACCTCAAGGAATATGATGTATGCTAGCCCCATCAACACCCCATGTGTGATCATGGGGCCTATACTCAATGACTCTCATGCAAATGGAAAAATCCTTCTAGCAGTTCAGGAACATCTAAAATATGCCAGTGGGGCTAGGGAAGTGGTTCAATCCTTAAAGTGCTCGCCTTGAGTTCCAGCCTCAGGATGCATGGAAAAAGGCTGCCATGATGGCGTGCTCATGTAATCCCAGGGTTGGGGAGGCAGAGCCAGGGGATCCTGAGGCTAGTCAGCCAGCCTAGCCTAATGGATGAGTTTCAGGCCAATGCACCATGTCTCAAAACACAAGGTGAATGATACCTAAGGAAGGGCACCAGAGGTTGACTTTACTCCACGACACACATAATAGATGTGCCAGAGAATGGAGTCTGGTAATGCCCCGCCATGACATCTTGATGAAGATGCAGGTAAAAATGGCCTCCTTTGGGACTGTGACTCAACTGCAGTGCTCACCTGGCTTGGGGCCACCTCAATGGGCATCTTCTGGATAATCCAGGTGACTGATTCAGCCAGTGGCGGGGTGGTAAGGGAGCCAGGGTAGGTCCAGTAATCCCGGCAGGCAGGCAGCAGACAAGAAGGGTCAAAAGGGCCCACGTCCACCTGTGTACCCTGAGAATAAGAATCACAGCCCTGTTAGGGGTCCAGCACAAGGAGGCCAGGGAGGAGCCAAGTGCCTCTTCATCTTACCACAGCTCTGATGGCCACCAAGCATGCTGAATAATGGCTTACACCGCCACCATTGTCATATGTGGAATCAGAAGGAAAATGTGACTCTTCTTTACAAGAAAAGGACTCCGACCAAATGGTTATATTTCTCTTTTAAATTATTCCTCCATATATATATGGAACATTTTTTTTTTTTTGCCATTTTCAAGTGTGCAGTTTGAGGGTGTTAAAGACATTCACATCATGCTGTCATCACCCACATTTATCTCCAGAACTTTCTCTGCCTCATTAAACACTGACTCCCATTCTTCCCTGACCCCTGGAAACCACAGTCTTCTTTCTGGCTCTGAACCTGCAGACCCATGGAAGTCAATGTGTCTCCTTCCTGTAGCCCTGGATAGCCTCGAACTCCCAGAGATCTGGGATTCAAGGCCTGTACCTGCATAACTGCTTTGCAGTGGTCTTCGCACAGCTTATTTCAGCGAGCATTGTGTCCTCAGGGCCCACCCATGGCACAGCAAGTGCTAGAACAGTCATTCTTCCTTCCTTCCTTTTTTCCTTCTGTTTTGTTTGTTTGTTATGTTTTTGTTTTGTGGGGTTTTTTGTTTGTTTTGAGACAGGGTTTCTCTATGTAGTCCTAGCTGTCCTGAAACTCACTATGTGGATCAGGCTGGCCTTGAACTCAGAGACCCACTTGCCTCTGCCCCTAATCTGAGTGTTGGGGTTAAAGAAGTGTAACAACACCTGGCTGAGACAGGGTCTTATGTAGCCCAGGGTGTCCTCAAAATCTCTATGTCACAGATGTGAAATACACAGAGAGTCTGGATCCTAAAAAAAAAAAAAATCTCTATGTCACACAAGGATAATTCTGAACTCCTGATCCTCCTGCCTCCACCTCCTGAGTGCTGAGATTACCAATGGGAGCCGGGATGTTCTGTGTGTCCTTCTGTGCTTTGGTCAGACGGAAAGCATCCACCACGTGGCTAGGCTGTGTTTCATTTGCATTCACCCAGGTTGGACACTTGGCCTGCTTCCCCTTCTGGTTATCTTAAATAGTACTTCCGGAATGGGATGGGGTGGGTGCTGTTTGCTTCAGGGCGACTTTCAGTTCTCAGGGCCCACACCCATACATAAGATTGCTGGGTCAGATGGACATTTTTTTTTTTTAGTTTAAGGACCCCAAAACATGTGTTTTCAACAGTGGCTGCACTGACAAATCTTACAGTTTTAAAACAACTGCCTGTCTCTCTGAAGCAGCCTGACTCTAAAACTGTGCATGCTGCGGGACCCTACCCCACCCCAGTCCTCATGTTCTTCTCTCCCACAGGGGGCAGGTGGGACCAAGGGCCCCACAGCTGCTCCTGACATATGGCTCAAGCTCTCTGCCCTCCTCTTAAGACAGCTGGAGTCAGCCTGGCCTCCGCCTCAGGCCGTGTTCACAGTTCATGTTTGCTTGCTTCCTGGGTTTCATAAAGCCTTTCTGAGCTCCCATGGGATGTCACTGTCCGTTTGCTCGTTCATGCGTGCGTGCATTCATTTACAAGTGTTTGTCTGAGGCAACAGAGAGCCTAACTTTGCCTCAGGTGTCGACGATACAGACGCAGGGAAGTGGAAGGAACGCCTCCCTTTTGTGGAGCCCACACAGAGTAAGAAGAGCATCAGCACTTCACACTGGGGACTTTGTGATGGAGAAAAGGAACAAATTAGGGGACAGGGTGAGATGGGAGGCAGTGGATGTTTTGAAAGGCGTGGTCCCAGAGGCCTAATGGGGTGACATCTGAGGAAAGACACGAACGAAGAGTCTCTGGAATGTGTACACTGTTGCAAAGGTCCTGAGGCAGAAGCAGCCTGATGGACCTGAGGAACATCAGGAATGTGGTGTGGTCACAATTAGTGAACGAGGTACAAAAGCAAAGAGGAGAGACGGCTGCTCAGTCAGTCACTCAGGATAGTGCTTGTGTTGCAAGCATGAAGCCCTGAGCTCGAGCCTCAGAACATTCGTGAAAAAGCTGGGCAGGATGTTGTATGCGCATGCAATCCCAGCACCGAGGAAGTGGAGACAAGCATCTTCCTGGGGCTCAATGTCCGGCCAGCCAGCCTCACCTGCTCTGTGAGCTCGAGGACGCTCAGAGACTCTGCCTCCAAAACTAAGGTGGGCGGTGCCTGAGGAGCAACACCTGAGGCCTCCACATACACATGCGTACACACAAAGTCAGTATCAACGTAAAGACGTGACAGAGGCGGGAAGCCTGCCGAGACGGACACCTCGCCTCAGCCTGGGACTGGGGATCCCCAGAAAAATCCACCTTGGCAGCAGGAGTACCACTTGCTCACGGCCTGGATGTTGCTCATCATATCAGGATATCATCACTCAAGGGTGCAGAGACTGAGGTCCCTCTTTCCCATGAGCCTCCACGGCCTAGGGGTCCCCAGGATCCTCAAGCAAGCAGGCCCAGGACAGCGACCCCCACATTGGTGAGGGCGAGAGACAGAGAAGACAGAGAAAATGAACCCCATCAAGACCCTTGGACAGAAATATTGAGTACTATGCAGGGTACCGGGGCCTGCTGATTAATAAGTCCCTAGCTCTAGGGTCCAGGGAGACCCCAAACCCCAGCCAGCCCATCTAACCTGAGCCCGGACATTGTATTTTTGGCTATGGAACCACAGGGGAGTAGTCCAGAGCTGCAGGGATGGACCTACTGAGCAGATGAGCAACAGAGCTGGGATTTGAGCCCCAGGCCACCTGACCTTCACCTCCTCCCTCCCCCTCCCATCCTCCCCAGAGTCACCATGCTTCAAGCGTTTTAAAGTCTGACAGGCTCCGGAAGGTAGGAGCACTCTCAGAGTCCATTATAGACAGCTCTGAGTTCAGCGATGCTGCTTGAGACATGCCATCATGTGCCACAGCCCCCGCCCCGCCCCCCCCCCACCCCCCCCACCTCCCCACCCCTGCATCAAAATAGTGGATGAGCCTGTATAAGCCGTCTGTACTTTTCATTCACACCACAGCTGAGGCCTGGACCCAACCAGTTTGCTTAAGACTGACACTGTGCCTACCTCACTTCAGTCAGGACAACAAGGCCCTCATGCATCCACTCTCAACATCCAAATTTCATAAATAGGGAAATTGGGTTCTGAGACACTGAGTCCCTTGCTCAAAGCCACACGGTTTCCTGGCAGATCAAGGGCCTTGGACCCAGGACATCTTGACGGAGGATCTCCAGCACACACACAAAACCTCTAGAAGTCCTAAGCTTGCAGACAGAGAGCCACGGACAAGGGGTCCTCAAGTGTCTCCTACTCCTTGGCCTGAGGAGCTCTCCATGGCTGGGTATATATAAAAGTCCCTTTATGTCCTAGAGTCAGTGGGTTATTTTCAGGGGACTGGCGTGATTTGGGTCAGAACTGAGTCCCAGATCCCGGGCCTTCCCTGTGGTCAGCCTGTGGGGAAAAGTAGTTCCCGAATCTTCCAAGGAAGGAAAACAGACCCCTGAGTAAACAACACTCCCAGCCAGCTTCTTTCTCTCCCACCCCTGTGGGAGGCAAAGGCCAGCTGGGAAAACATCCCGCCTTCCAGCTTTGTTCTGGCTGTAGGCCAGCAAGGAAGAGGGCGAGGAGCTGGGCGCAAAGTGCCTCGGCCTTGAGGTGTTCCTGAACGAGTGGACAGAACAGGGGGGCAGGGGATCTGTCTCCATCCCAAGGGGCATCTGGACCTCAACATCAAGAGGAGGCAAGGAGCAGATCAAACACTCCTGTGAGCTTTGAGGAAGGCGTGGCCACGCTTCCCTGCAGGGCAGCTCTCACCATTGTTAAGACAGGTGGAAGCCTCCTCTGTCCCCATGTCCCCATGTCCCCATGTCTAATGGCCACCTTGCTTCCTTTTGCCTCAGAATTCTTTGTTGTGGTGCTGAATAAATAAACCTATCTCTTTGGAATTTCCATTTTTCCATCAAAGTCCCTTCTGGGTTGGTCTTAAAGAAAAGTGACACCATTACTCTGCCATTTTCTCAAGACGGGCTAACAAACCAAGGTATACAAAGAATGCCCAGCCAACTTCAGAGTGACCTGGGGCCCTGCCACCAGCCTGGGCGGTGCCCAGCCTGCCTCCCTCTCCACGGGTCTGCTCTGTCCATGGTCTCAGTTAAACTCTTTCTCAAGTGTGTGCTGGTGGTGCACTGGCCTGTGTTTGCACACCCAGCCGGTAGACACTTTGGTCTGTTTTAACAGACGTTATCACTACTGGACATCGTGCCTGAGCAAAACAAGAACAAATACGAGATCAAACTCTTCCACAGGCTGCTGGGATTACCTGGGTGGTTGGTCTTGGGAAACCCCACGGAGTTCAGCACCCTTGTCTCACTGAGGGGGAAATGGGCAGGAATATGCAGAGAGCACATCACTCCTTCTCCTGAGACAGGATTTCAAGTATCACAAGGGTAACCTTGAACTTCTGATCTTTCTGCTTCCACCTCCCAATATTGCAGCTGTCTCTTGCCATACCCAGTTTATGTCGGTGCTGGGGATTGAACCCAGGGTTCCATGCATGCTCAGAGAGCTCTCTACCTACTGAGCTACATCTGAGTCTTCTTTCTTGTTTGTTTTTAAAGACTCTCATCCTGTAACCAAGGCTAGCCTGGAACTCATTATGTAGTGGAGGCTGGCTTTGAACTTTTGGCAATGCTCTTGCCTCGGCCTTCTCAAGTGCTGGAATTATAGGCATATGCTCAGAGGGAAAGCTGAATTCAGCTGAGACAAGAGCCTGAGGACCGGCCTTTCCTGTCTCTTTCTAGAGCCGGAGCCTCACGCCCTCTGCCAAACTCTTTGACTTTTCCCCAGTAAGTCGTTGCTCTGGTAAAACTTGGGTGCCTGCTTTGCTGGTTTTATGCTTCTTACCTTGTGTTTCACTTCCGGCAAGACATCCACCAGCCTCTGCAAAGCCTCATGCTTGGCCCCGAGCTGCACAGCACAGACATGTGAGCGTTAGCCTGGGAGGCAGCAGACAATAAAAACACACCTTGCTTCCAGGTGACAGTGTGCAAAAGGCCATTCTTTGTTGTTTGTTTTGGGTTTTTTTTCCACATAACATTTTTATTGGTTCTCTGGGAGTTTCACATCATGCACCCTGAACACAATCCCTTCCAAGTCCTTTCATGTGTGCCCCCACTGGTGGCCTCCCCCCAAAGAAGTATAATAATGATAATAATAATGTCCATTTTGTGTTATCTATACACTCACTGGAGCATGATCAAATTCTCAGTGACCTGCCCTTAAATAGGACTGAATCCTTCCCTCCCACACCTCCTCCAGAAGCCATCAACTGTGGAGGGATACTCTTCAGCATCTCCATCACACTTTTTAAGAGTTCTCTTTGGGGGGTTGGGGATTTAGTTCAGTGGTAGAGTGCTTGCCTAGCAAGCACAAGGCCCTGGGTTCGGTCCTCAGCTCCGGGAAAGAAAAAAAAAAAGAGTTCTCTTTGGTGGCTTACTATCTAGGCTGTTACTTTGGGATGGGGGCGGTGGGGGTGGGGTTGTCACAGAAGCCTTCCATGTCCCTCCCTACGAAAGGCCATTCTGATGACCAAACCCAGCCATGCTCAGTGGGAGAGTCCTCATGGCCAGCAGATGTTACCTTCAGAAACACTCCTATCACCGCCAGCCCATTCTCCCCCACGGTGGCTTCCTTGTAATTTTCATATTTCATGGAATTCCAGTGAACCAAATGGAGCTGAAACAGAGTGGACAAAGAATGTTAATGTGTCCTAGTGCAGCCGAAACAGCAGTCACGCCACTCTGTCCAGCACACCCTTGGGTCACGTCAATGTCGTATCAGTACACAAAGTGCTGGTGGCCAGAGTCCTTGGAGCTCCCCAAATACAGGTGGCAAGAGCTTCGCAGGACCGAAGGGAGCGAGGGAGAAGACTGTTGCTATAGTTTCTCTTCCTCTGGCTGTGAAACAACACCCCAACAAAAGCAACCGAAAGGAGAAAGGGTTTATTTCAGTTCGTGATTCAAGGTTACTGTCCACCGTGGTGGAGAAGTTAAGGCAGGGGGAGCTTGAGGCAGCTGGCCACATCATGTCCACAATCAGAAGAGAGGATCAGTGAATGCATTTTTTTTTTTTTTTTTTTTTTTTTTGGTTTTTCGAGACAGGGTTTCTCTGTGTAGTTTTGCGCCTTTCCTGGAACTCGCTTTGGAGACCGGGCTGGCCTCGAACTCACAGAGATCCGCCTGCCTCTGCCTCCCGAGTGCTGGGATTAAAGGCGTGAGCCACCACCGCCCGGCCAGTGAATGCATTTTTATCATTTTATCACCTCTTCTCCACTTACACAGTCGGGACCAGCCCCCGGGGCACGTTCCCATCCACACTCCATAAGAGTTGTGGTGGTTTGAATGAGAATGTCCACCACGGGCTATGTATTTGAACACTTGATCTCCAGTGGGTGGCGCTGTTTGGGGAGGTTTAAGAGAGTGGCCTTCTCTGGATATGGAAGACAGTTGTTTGGCTCGAACTGATTGGGGGGCACCCAGGCAGGGGGATCGGGATCTGTCCCTGGTGCATGGGCAGGCTTCTGGGAATCTGGTGCCTGCGGTCTGACGCCTTGCACAGCCTTTGTGGAGTGGGAAGGAGCTTGGACCTGCCTGGGCTCAGTGTGCTGGGCTCTGATGACTCCCCATGGGAGACCTCGATTTGGGGGATGTGGGGATGCGGGGTGGCTCAGGAAAGAGGGCTGGGGGTAGTGGGGGAGGGAGGAGAGGGATCTGTGGATGGTATGTGGAGTGAGTAGAAAATTTCTTAATAAAGAAAAAAAGAAAATAAAAAAAGAGAGCGTGGCCTTGTTGGAGGAGGTGTGTCACTGGAGGAGGAGGACTGTGAGAGTTGAAAGCCGTTTCCAGTTTGCTCTTGCTGCTTCATGCTTGTGTTTAAAGATGTGCGCTCTCATCAGAAGCTCATTTATTAGTAAAAGGGGGGACCTGTAGGGTCCTGGCCCCGTTTTGGGTAACTGTTGCCTTGCTTGCTGACCTTGACCTTGATATCCTCCCTATGCTAATTCCCTGCCAGGTTCCACCCTCCTAAATGCTTAAGGGAAGTTCCTTGTCTGTGTATCCTGCATAATGGGCGTTAACAGCTTAGATGCAAGATTGTAAAACATCTAGTGAACTTCTGCCCTCTGGGGTTCTCCCATTGTGCTGTAAGCCTGTATTTAAGACCTCTTCCCTCCTTCAATAAACAGCATTCGGCATTAAATAAATAAATAAATAAATAAACAAATAAATAAAAAGATGTGCGCTCTCGGTTTCTGTTCCCGTGGCCATGCCTGCCTCTTGCTATCATGATGGACGTACCCTTCTATAACCATAGCCCAAATAAGGCCTTCCTTTTATAATTGCCTTGGTCATGGAGGGTTTTTGTTTTGTTTTGTATGTTATTGTTTTTTTGAGACAGGATTTCTCTGTTTTAGCCCTGGCTGTCTTAGAACTTGCTCTGTAGACCGGGTTGGCCTTGAACTCAGAGATCTGCCTGCTTCTGCCTCTAGAATACTGGGATTAAAGGTGTGCGCCACCACCACTGCCTGGTGGTCATGGTGCTTTGTACAGCAACAGAAAAGTAATGAAGACAGAGGTCTTCTCATATCAATGAGCATAATAAAAACAATCCCCTATCTGTCAACTCAACAGTTATCAGTAGCCATCACAAGTGTTTTGAGTTGGCAAGACAGAAGTGAATAGTTTGATCATCTGTACCTATGAGTCACTTGGAACAAGAGTCATCAGATAAGACACAGGACTGTCAGAATTGAACAATTTCTCAGAGAGGTAAGTCCTCAATACGCATTTGGCACCTGACCTTGAACTCTGCCTTGTCTTTATTTTGTAATTCTTCCATTTCCTCCATGTGGGATTATGGACCTCACAGGGTGATTGATGTATTTGCAAGATGATGGGAACGGACGAAGAGGAGGGAGTGAGGGAGGAGGGAGGTAGCCCTGTCATCTGGTAATCATGGGCCCTGGCTGGGAACTGTAGTGATAAGACTGTAGCTTCCCCTAGGGGAGTCTGGGTATGTGTCCAGTTGTCCCTTCTCACCCACGGCCTCTACATCCATTGAACTAAAGACAGACAAACTATTTGGAATAAAAATGCTGTCTGTGCTGTTCTTGATTTTCTTGAAATGAAACAAATAGCAACAGCATGTGGCACTCACAGTGTGCTAGTGACCTGGAGATGAGGGCAGAGGTATCAGAAAAATGTGTGTGGGTTCCATACAAATATGATAGCTTTATCAGAAGGCATTCAGAGCCCCTTGGATATAGCAGGGGGCACCTATGTCCCCTAAGCACAGGGCTGTGGTTGAAGCATTCTTAACTGTGCCCAACCATGAGTCCTCAGGGACAAGGACCAGCAAGCCCTTGGTATCATGGTCAGCAAGCTGTGCCTGTTGCCATCCAGGATTCCATTGGAAGCTCTGGGTGCTCACTCCTGGGAAGCATGGATGCTCCTGGTCTGGGATCTGGGATCTAGGACCAGCAGGATAGACTTGCCCTGTCTACTTAGGACCTCCTAGAATGCAGCTCCAGGTCTCAGAGATGGAGCCCTCATTTCCATCAGACCTCTTGGCTAAGGGTCTTAATATGTAGACCCCTGGCCTCCATTTGTACCAGGCCGGCCTTCCTTCCTCCTTTCTCACCTCCACGTGGTCACAGGGAGTGTATGGGTAGGGCTCAAGATCTCTCATCTTAATCAGCTATGTTTCAACCACAAGGGCGTTCAGTAAACACATCTTAGCACAAAACAAGGCCCCAGCTAGAGAACTGTGAGGAAGGATTGCTACTGGATGAGGAGAGACACCATGCGCCCTCTAGTGGCAATGTCTGCCAGTTCAGAATGAACAAGAACTGGGCTTCATCTGTGGCTTTGGCTAGACTCTGGTTCACTTCTACAACCAGAAGATGGTGAAATGGAAAGCCAAAATGTTGAGTGTATACCCAGGCTGGTGGAAGAAGGGAAGAGGAGGGGAAAGAGAAGAGGGGGCAGTGTGGGCAGCACCTAGAGAGGAGCGGGTACATGGGGGACTGACAATGTGAATATGGCAAATCGGCCATTCCAGAGAGAAACCTCATGGTTTATGATCATATGGGTCTCTCCATTTTTCTTTGTATTGGGAATTTTCCATGATATAATGTTGGGAGGTTTCCAGGCACTGCCACAACTTCAGAGCCAATGCCTAAGGCTCTTTTGCTTAATTTTCCGTGATGACCCCACTCTGGGATGTTGAAGAAATGGCCTTTGAGAAGATGCTGTCTGGCTAGGGGTATGGCTCAAGGATGGGTTTCATCCCCAGCTCTGCAGAGGAGGAAGAGCAAAAGAAGAAGGAGGTGGAGGAGAAAGGGGAGGAGGAGGAGGAAGAGGAGGGAGTAGAGGAAGGAGAGAAGAGACCCTACTGTGGAGGTTTTCATTCTAGGTGGACATGAGGCCACTGGTCCTTAAGTGTAGCGAGCCCACAACTGAGGGCTATGAATTTCAGTGAGCTACATGACTTCTCAGAACTTCTAGCTCCTCCGGCAGCAGAGCACCTAGAGCACCCGCCCTCTGCCCCAGGACAAGGCGGCAACGGTTAAGTGGGTCAAGCTGCTCTATTGTTCTAAGTGGTACATGGGAAGCCTCAGGTCCCTGGAAATCCTTTGGGTCTGGGAACTTGGTGTGTGTGTGTGTGTGTGTGTGTGTGTGTGTGTGTGTGTGTGTGTGTGTGTGTGTGTTGGGGGGGTGGCGGTGCCAGTCACCCTGTGGGAGGCCTGACATAGAAAGCACCCATATGTGTGCTGCTTCACGGCGTTTACGAACCTCAGCCGGGTATGCGCGACCATCCACCATGTGCTCCGAGCCCCACTCATTCGCTGCTCCCCAGTGGAAGTGAAACTGCTTCAGCCTGTAGTGATTTCCCAGTGGCCCACCGCTGATCCCTGGAAATAAGAGAAGGGACACTTGTGCCTGGGCTATGTGTGGGCTCAACATTGCCTACGTGTGTGTGGGGGGAGCAGGGGGCAGTGACGGACACATTCTATCCCCAAGGGATGGTTGCACTGCTGAAGCAGGGAGGTCTGTGAAAGGTGGACCTGGCCTGACTTTGGTCACCTCCGTCTAGAGGGATGCCTGCCGCAGCAGGTTCCCAGTCAACTCTAGGATAGGTGAAGACCAAGTCTGAGCACAGCCACTAGATGGCAGTAAGGATCTCGAGTCCCTGCGAGTGACCCTGCACCAAGACATAGGCGGGGTGTCTGCTATGTGCTAATCCCACAAAGATTTCCAAGAGTTTCTTTTCTTCTGAGACAGGGTCTCATGTAACCCGGGCTGGCAGTGAACTCCATATGTAGCTGAGGATGACTTTGAACTTCCGATCCTCTCGCTTTTACCTCCTGAGTTCTGGGATTACAGGTGTGTATCAATCATTACACCTGGTTTTCTGTCATTTGGGGGATGGACAGAGACAAAGTCAACAGTCCAGTGTAGGGCTGGGAGCCCATTTAACAAGCTCCAGGTGACCAATCACACTTCTACTTGTTGGTGACACACTTCCATTCAGTTTTCAGGCAGGAATCATGGAGCAATGCTGCTCCCTAGCTTTCTCTCGGGACCATGCTTAGCCAGCTTTCTTACACAGTCCAGGACCATCTGCCTGGGAAATGGAGCCACCTACAGTGGGCTGGACCCTCCCACATCAGTTAACCATGGAAGACAATCCCCCTCAGACAGGACCACAGGCCGGTCTCTAATCCGAGCAATCCTACTGATACTCCTTTTTTAGGTGACTCTAGGTTGTGTCAAAAACTGACCAGAACACTGAGCGGCAAATGGGGCCAGTGCCACGTTGAGTGAACGATGCCATTGAGCACCGACTGCCACCAGCTGATGGGGTGTGCTTGCTTTTCCCCGTGAAAACAACTTGCAGAGGGTAGCACTCCACTCTACTCCACGCTAGGGACAGAGGTAGCCTGTGTGTGTGCCAAGGTCTGGACAGGCCCCAGGCTGGCACAATCTCACTATCTCCTTACTCCAAAACAAGATGGTCGCTCTAGAGTGCCGTCAGTCCCATCCAGTTGTAAGAACTTGTGCTATTATTACCTAACTCCAGATAAGAGGCTGGAGAGAGGGCTCAGCAGTTAAGAGCACTGGCTGCTCTTCTAGAAGACCAGCAGTTCGATGCCCAGCACCTCCATGGCAGCTCACAATCATCTATAACTCCAGATTTGGGGGATCTGATGCCCTCTTCCACCTCCATGGCCACCAGGCACACAGAAGGTGCGTAGACACATATGTAGGCAATAACACCTGTATACATACAGTAAAATTTAAAAAAATATACAGGCAAGGGCCAAGAAATAAAGAGATGGCTCAGTGGGTCAAGTGCTATTGCAAGCATTAGCATCTGGGTTTGAGCCAGGTAGAGTGGCACACGCCTTTAATCCTAGCACTCGGGAGGCAGAGGCCAGCCTGGTCTACAAAGTGAGCTCCAGGACAGCCAGGACCATTACACAGAGAAACCCTGTCTTGAAAAACCAAACCAAACCAACCCCCCCACACACACACACACAGAGGGAGAGAGAGAGAAAGAGAGAGAGAGAGAGAGAGAGAGAGAGAGAGAGAGAGAGAGAACAAGGTAGATAGATCCTGAGGAATAACACCTGATACGAAGAAGTTACCCTCAGGCTTTACATGTACACACGTGTACATAATACATATGCTGCTGAACTATAGCTGGAATTTTTAATACACAGAAACAGCCTTCTCCCCAGTGAATGACAGTCTGATCAGTGGGTACCAATTATACACTGGGTATTGAGGTTCTGGTCTGCAGATGAAAGGGTCCAGGCTAAGGCAAATCTATGGTGGAGCTTGCATTTCAGGATCCTGTTTGGTTTTCTTGGGCTGCAAATGCGGAAGGGGCAGCTTTCACTGGAGGGCTGACAGCACGTTAAGGTCTCTAAAAGACGATGATGAGGGTGATGCCAAAGGATGAAGTCTGAACCCAGGAGCAGCCCGATGTCTGCCGGGCCTACACCAGCAACCTTTGTAGCAAAGTCACCCCCACCCTCCCTTCTTGGGGACAGGGATGATCAGGATATGGTCAGGGACAGAGGAAAAGGGCTCCAGGTTCCTGTCTTCCAGGTCCATCCTTGAGTACCTGGACTTGGGGGAAGAGGACAGTCACCCCAGGCCCCATTAGGATAGAAAGGGATCTGAGCTCTAATCATGGTCCTTTGATAGATGAAGTCTAAAGATCATCCTAGCCCAACTGGGGCCAGGCTCTGGCTCCACACTCTCCCTGATGACATCAGAAGATCCTTTTGCAGAGTAGCCCCCATGGGGATCAAGCAAGCTCACAGAAAAACATCCCCAAAGGCTGAAGCATACCAAATAAAAGTAAGGGAAGGCCAGGCGTGGTCAAGCACACATTTAATCTCAGCACTCTGGAGACAGAGGCAGGCAGAGCTCTATGAGTTCAAAGACAGCCTGGTCTACATAGCGAGTTCCAGGCTGACCAGGGCTACATAGTGACAGGCTGGCCAGGGCTGCATAGTGACACCCTGTCTGGGAAAAAAAGACAAGGGTATTTGAGGAGAGAGTACTTGTTGGACTGCCGAGGAAGCTCAGTGGAAAGGCGGGTGAGGTTTCAATGTCTCCCAGCAGAGCAAAGTAACCACGTGACTTGCACTGGACAGAAGAGGCTCCTGGGAAGCCAAGTCTTGGGAGAGAAGCCAGGCATCTGGGGATCTCTGGGATTCAGGGCTTGGAGCCTTTTGGGGCCAGGTGTACCATCATCATTCACAAATGTGCACACAGAGGAGCAGTCTTGAGCCCTTTCAAGTTGGAACAGAAATTTCTCACTGTGACAGTGTTTCCAAAATTAGCCCTGACAGCAGAGGCAGCCGCAGCAAAGCGGCAAGTGTGCTTATTTAAGGACTGGAAAGGCATCCTTAATAGCTCTTTCTGCTGTCTGGGTTTGCAGGCACATGGGTGGGTCTGCAGGTGCAGGGGCTCTAGCCAGAACCCGTCTCCCGATAGGATCCTGGCCTGCCCAGCTCCTCACTCCTTCCAGCTGTTTTCCCATTCAACAGCAGAGTTCCAGTAAGGACTGAGTCCCCTGGGAGACATACTGTCCAGCATGTAGGAAGCCTTCCAAGGAGACAGGACAATAGCCATTTGCACGTGTGTTTGGGGTAAGACAGCTGGGAGTGAGTGTCCCTGGCCAAGTCTCCATGTCCCAGTATTTTGTTTCCTGGTCGCCAGCTCTTGTAGCTGTCCGTGGTGAACTCTCGGTGCACTGAGACTGAATGACAAGCTATGCGCTGGACACTGTGTAGGGAACTGGGTATTTCCCAAGGGACTCTAGGACAGGCGCTAGAAGCCCAACGTTGAGATGAGGATGCAAAGCGTCTTGGTTAGGGCTTCTATCACTGTGATGAACAGTAGCACAATAATGAACAGCTTAGGGAGGAAAGGGCTTATTTCAGTTTACACCTCCCGGTAACGGTCCAGCACTGGAGGAAGTCAGGACAGGCACTCAAACAGGGCAGGAACCTGGAGGCAGGAGCTGACGCAGAGCCCATGGAGGAGTGCTGCTTACTGGCTTGCTCCCCATGGTTTGCTCAGCCTGCTTTCTTATAGAACTCAGAACCAACAGCCCAGGGTGTGGCCACACCCACAATGGGCTGGGCCCTCCCACATCATCGATCAAGAAAGTGTACCAGGCCAATCTGGTGAAGGCATTTTCTCAATTGAGTTTCTCTCTTCCAAAAGGACTCTGGGTTATCAACCCAGAGATGACACAAAACTAACCAGCACGCAGAAACTTAGGAGTTAAGGCACCTGTTCCAGGTGACCTGTTGACCGAAGATCCTGTTGAACCCTTCAACCATTGACTTTGGTTGCAGAGTTCAAAGCCGAGCACGGTTTCTTTCCTTGGAGGCAAGGAACTTTGAGATAAGGCTACAGAATCAGATAAAATGATGTATAACCGACTTTTCATAATGATAATACAGTGACTAATTTAAAGAAGAGGCAAGCCGAGTCTTGGGAAAGAGCCTTTTACTTGCCAACCTCAACCCCTGAGACGGCCAGCAGCAAAGTTTGACCACTGAGGCCTGACCACCCATCACCCTGTGTTCTCTTACAGCAGGTACATCTGAGATCATGGAGATAAAATGGGGCGATTACATTAGCCAGGGTCAGACTCTCCAACTAAAGTAAAGTAACGTGTAACATTCAAGGCCAAGAGTGCACAGCGGTGGCTGGTCTCCTCTGTTACAACAGTCGCTGTTAATAGCCACCTATTTGTAATTCGGGGCTTTCCCCAGGACAGAGTGGGCTTTTGGCAGGAACAGCGGCTGCTTTAGGGCTTGAAATTAGCATAAGAGAAGCTTGGGAAACTCTTGTTAGTCAGAACCTGGAACAGCAGAGGATCTCGGAGAGAATAGCATGTTCCAGTGTTGCCTCCGAGTTTAACCAGCTGCCAACCTGTGAAGTCCAAGGCCAAAGGGCTTCTCTGTTCCTAATCCTCTCTTGGTGAGGACAAGCCACAGCTGGCCAGCAGCTGTTGGCAGGCTGAGAGGACACCACAAGCCCCACAGAACCCAGACTTGGACACCGGGCGAAGCTGAGATCAGCCTGAGTATGGCTTTCACTAGGAGTTGTCTCTTTATCTCATAGGCGACATTTGTAGAAGAAGAATGACACCTATTTTACAAGAACAAGGGAAAGAGTGAATGCAAGACTCCTGGTGTCCCAAAGGGCTTGGCAAACCACAGCCACTCACTGTTCTGATAGTCACTGTTATTGTGGCTACTATCAAGGTTATAGCGGAAGAACCAGCCTTCCTCCATCTTAGGCTGAAAGTATCTTATAGTAAAGACAAACTAGGTTCATTCTTGTTTATGATTAAACCTCTGTTTCTCAAGGAGTGGGC